ACGGCACTGTCATGTTCTAGTCCCTCTCCACTCTATACAAAACTTAAAAAGAAAGTTTTGGCTTCAGCTGCACTTTAACCCTTTGTTAGGACAGACAGTGTCCAATGTCATTTATAATTGATAATGAGATCTGCCAGCACAGTACAGACAGGGTTCATTTTAGTAAACACTAACTCTCCAGCACCAACACAAGTAAAACTAGAGTGAAAATGTAGTTTTTTTTAACTTATGCTGGGTGAATGGCAACATGTACCAATATAAAATAGGTGCTTTCCCAATTTGGTTGTAAAAGTGGAAATACACTTTAAAGTGGTTGTGCCAAATAGAATACAGAATGTGTGTCATTTGTGATTTTATTCATTGCGTGTCGTTATAATATCAATATTAATAAACAAAAAAGACATGGACCGGCCTTTCTGTCACTTGTGTTATAAACTTCTAGGTCTAAACTGTAGACTCTCCTATCTTTGTTCCTTTGAGCTCCTGTAACTTGGTTTGTTTGACTGCAGAGCTATCAGTAATTCATAACAGAGCCATTTTGTAATTTAATTTTACTTAAATTACCTCTTTATTGCAATCTGAAGTCGCTGGAAACCCGGGGGCGTTCTGTATACCCCCAGAAATATAACTTCCTGCTTGTGTGATTGGCTCGCAGATTTTCCTAGAAGTCTGTAACAAGATACAAGTCACATTTTAGCCATCCCCTGCAATAGAAATGTTATATTTGGTGAGATACTCCCTTAATGTGCCCATACACCTGTCGATTATCGTACGATAATCGCGGGTGATCCCGCGATCGTACGATAATCAGCAGGTGTATGGAAGGCGTGCGACCGTTTCTACTGTCGCACGTCTTTTGTCTTCCGAGCACGCTTAAGAACCTGCCGAAAACCCGCTCAGCATTGGAATCATCGGAAGCCCTCCCCTTAGCGGGAGGGCTTGCGATGATTGCAAGTACAATCTGCCTGTCCAAGATGGGCAGATCGTATGAGATTTTAATTACCTTACAACCATCGCACAACAAAAGTCGTGCAATGGTTGTAAGGTGTATGGCCAGCTTAAGGGTTAACTAAAGGGATGCAGACACTGAAACTTTGCACATTAGAACACTGAAAGTCCACCCAAGGGGTTATATTGAACCCAGGTTCTCGCAATCAGGAGTCAGTCTGTAAAGGACGTGCTGCAACAAACAGCTTTCTTTTCAGAACAGAAACAAGTAGGAATCTGCAACAAAGTTTACCAAAATCCTTGCAATGTACATTGATTGCCCAGAGGGGATTTTTTTCTCAACAAAAATGGAGTTACTCTTTAATGATAATGACATTGCTTTATCAGCTTTTGCTTTACATTGCAGCAGATGTATGTGCCCAAGCGCAAACCCCCTGTGCCGTGATGAACCTGGTTCTGTGGTAAATAGGTACATGAGCATCACATCAGACCGCAGTGTGCCCTCGGATATATTTCAGATTCAAGCCACCAGTGTCTACCCTCGGGCTTACAACACCTTCCAAATACGATCAGGAAATGAGCAGGGGGATTTCTACATCAGGGTGAGTGACTTGACAAAACGACTTTTCTGTATGAGATTCTATCAATTCTCAGCCATACTCTGAGCATATGGAATTTGCACTGTTTTCCATGTAACTTCTCTCTTTAAAAAAAGAGTTGAACATTTCTATTTAGTTACATATACATACATAGTGACTTCACTGATTTACAAGTTTGAAATATTATCTGGAGGGGTCTGAATTGTGGTGACAAAGGAGGTACTTTTAGTTTATCTCAGGTTTCTTTAAATAGCTAGTACATGTAAATCCCCAGTACCTACTTCACTCCAGTTCCAGTTCATGTTATCCTGGGTGCAGTGGGCACTTCATCAAAATGTATGTTGAAGGCATACCCAAATTCTGTTAAAACATCACACAGCTGTTTCAGAACCACACAGGACCCATAGAAATGTTTCAACCAGTCTAAAGGTCTGGACCATAGATAAAAACACAACTGATTACTGCCCACAAAGTTCCTGGCTGATATCATTGTGACATCATCAATACCGCAAAGAGTGTTTTTACAATTACACAGAAAGTAACAAAAATGTAGTTTATTTGTTTGTAGATCCTCAAATCCTCTCTAAATTGGTGCTGACTGTCCTTCCTTCTGGAGGGTGGCAACTTTTGATCCCCATGGTTCCTGTGTGTGTAAAGTAGCCATCGCTCCATGCTCACTCCTGTAATAGACTACAACCTCACGTTTAGTTTACTAATTTGTATTGAGATTATAGTCCATCACGGGAGCGAGCTTGGAGCGGTGTCTACTTTACAACACTTTATTCTGCACATCTGGCTCCCAATGATCTTCTAGAAAATTGAGTGTCGAGACAAATATCTAGCCTATTGCTGGCATTGTAAAATTGTTAGTTGCTGTATCAGCCTTTTTATTCCAGGTCAGTGACCCAGAAAGCTTTAAAGCCATTGGATCAGCATGACAACCATGCATACGGCATTTTTAGAAGGCAGCAATGGTAGCCTACATATGTTTCCAAGTACATGTTTTGTGTAAAGGATAATTTTATTTATCTTTTCTAAAATTACCCTTTAGGACTTTGAGGGGGAGAGCTGGAGGGGTAACATATATTCCCGTCAATGCTCGTAGAAGGTCCATGCTGTACAGACCTCAGCGAGAGACAGCCTATCACTGAGATGCATAATAGAAGTCACCTCTATAACAATGAATGGGATTTTCCCCACTGTGCAGAAAAAGCAAGGGACCAGTCAAGAGAGTTTGCAGCGATGGCTGTTTGGCTCTCCGTGGTATGCATAGTGTGGATCCAGCAAAAGAAGTGACAGGTTAGTATAGGACTTGGGTTGGGTGGGGTGGGGTGGGGTGGGGCAGGGAGTGTAACGTAAAGGATGACTATACCAAAGTTATCTATATCTATAATAATACATAATATTACTCCAGATGTAGGAGATCAGCAGAAGTTGTATGGACAGCTCAACCACCTTAGTAACCAACACTAAGTTATTACTCATTTATAAGTAGTGACTATGTGCGTCACCTGTCTGGCAGTATTGTACTGTACTAATTTGGAATTACAAATCCTTTGGCAGGTATAATAGTAAACCTGAAACATAAAAACAGTTTGCCTCCCTTGTGTAGAATTTATTCAGAGGCGTAACTAGTGACCTCAGGGCCCCGATGCAAGAATCCATGAAGGGCCCCCCCCCCATGAAAAAAACAATTAGATACATTTATTTAAAAAAAATTTTGACAAAAAAAAACCACCACTTTTTCCGCTGATGGACCCCCACTCTCCTCTTCCATGTCTCCCTTCACGTCCCCAACTTTCTGCTTCCGGACCCCACACTCTCCTCTCCCATGTCACTTTCATAGTCCCAGCTCCCTATATCTTCCCCTTCGTGTCCGCAGCAGGCCTCTCCTACCGATGCAGCTCTTTATTCGGCAGCGTTCTGTATGATGAGGGGGCGGGGATAACCCGCTTCCCACTCATTGGCTGCTGCGCCGGCTGGATCATACTTCACGCTGTGTCCGGAACAAGGTGAGGGTCGCAGCGTGAAGTAGAGATGGGAAGTTCGAATCTTTCAAATGAATCGGTTCATTTGGATCAGTTCATTCAAAAGAAATGATTTATGAATCGAATCTTCGGTTCACTTGCTGAGTCGGCTGACAAACAAGTGAACCAAAGCTCAGGAGCTGTCTGACTATTCATAAAGGATCTGAATCAGAAGACTGATTCAGACAAGGGGGGGCAGCTCCTGAGGATCAGTGCCTTGGCTCAGAGAGGTCACACATTTGGTTTTATGTCAGATTAGCCATTGTATCACATCAGCCAAAGTCGTCACTTCTGGTGAAGCGCGATCAGGTGTGACAGTAAAAAGCATGTTATTGCGCATGCGCTCCGCTTTGAGCTGATGTCACATTGGTCAGATTTGTAGTCTTTACAGCGCAATAACGATTGGATTTACTACCACTGGTACTGCGCCCACGGTACTAAAATCCTATCATTATTCCCACCCATGCGTTGTAAAGACTAGAGACAAATCTGACTACCAATGTGACATCACCTCATCAGAATGCGGAGTGCATGCACAGGAACACTCTTTTTTTACTGTCAGCTGATCGCGCGTCACCAGAAGTGATGACATTGGGTGATGTGATAGAATGGCTGGTCTGACACTGATCACTAGGCACTGATCACTAGAACGATCCCTAGGAGCTGCCCCCCCCTTCTCTGAAACACTTCTGATTCGGATATTTTATGAAGAGTCAGACAGCTCCTGAGCTTCGGTTCACTTGAGACTCAGCAAGTGAGCCAACTCAGGAGGTGAATCGAAGAGCTGATTCATTTGAAGATCCGAACTTCCCATCTGACTCACGAGTCTTAGACTCCATGTACTGTGAGTCAGAGCTGTAGAGACTCTAACTGTTAGAGGGTTGTACCTAGTTCACAGATGTGATTGGATGCAGGGAGGGGGTGGGCGGGCCTGGCAGAAGCTGAGCTCTGCTCTAGAATCATATTACAATGCCGATCTTCTATTCATTCTACACTGTGCTGCTTCAAAGGGATCCGCTCACTCAGAGGAATCGACTCATCCGGTTCACTGAAGAGAACCGATTCAAAAGAACAATTCGTTCAGGAACTGGAAATCACTAGCGTGAAGCACGTAGGGCCCAGGACAGGAGGAAGAGGTCCCGGTACTGACATTAGCGGTTACCGGGATATTAAATATCCTGATAATCAGCGGTTACCAGGGGCCCCTTCCTCCTGTCCTAGGCCCCCTCCAAGTGGCAGAACTCCAGGGCCCGGTCGCAGCTGCGACCTCTGCGACCCTGTTAGTTCCGCCACTGCATTTATTGTCTTTTACCTTTTAAAAAAAATAAAAACTTCTACAAAAGGGAGGCGCACTGTTTTTTTATTTCCTGACTGTCAAGGTGCTGCCCTCTTGTGGAAGTTGTTGTTCCTGTACCCCTAAAGTTATGAAGAATATGGCGCTGGTGGGGCTATAGATTTGATAATAGTAAATATATGTATGTCGTATGCCATATGCTTGCAGTATTGCTATATATTGAAAGATTAAAACCTATAATTTAGATAAGCATACTTTCCATAGACACTGACTGCCCCTTCCTGTTAAATCACTAGACAACATCTCTCACACTTCTCTTGTTTTTCTCCTCTAGCAAATAAACAATATCAGCGCAATGCTTGTACTAGCACGTCCTATTACCGGCCCCCAGGAGTATGTTCTGGATCTGGAAATGCTGACCACCAACTCCCTGCTGAGTTATCGCTCCAGCTCTGTACTCAGACTCACCATATTCGTAGGGGCGTATCCCTTCTAGAACAATAGCCACTGCATTGTCTATTGGGCTATAAAACGTTCTCTTGGTTAAATATATTTGTTCACTGATATTTTATTTTTTTAATTAAAAACAGATTTTTGTTTTGGAAAAGGATGTCTTTCAGTGCAAAGCAATGGAAGAGATTGGCACTGTAAAAGGTGGAACAGGTGCTTGCCATTGGGGTCTTGTGTTGAACTAAATAAGCTGACATAATATGCAGAATTAAGCTTCGAAGGCTCTGACTTCAGCATAATTATGTAACAGCACAGTATCAGCTATAAACTTGGGCTTTGTAGGGTTTGCGCTAAAAGTAATCTTCTAAATATATTACATATCAGGGACAACCAGATTGTGATGGGTTTGTATCTGTTATAGGGGGGAAAGCCTTACAGGACTCCAAGTTGTTGCTTGAGCTCCAGGCAGAATGCTGTTAGGTACATCATACTAAGGGCTGATGATTATGAGCAACAGTTAGCTTTCTTAAATATACAGAAAAAGGAATTTATCAAACCTGGAGCAGACGAAATCTGGAGCAGCTGTGCATGGCAACCAATCAGCTTCTCTCTTTCATTTTCAAATCTTAACTGGCCAAACTAAAGAGAGAAGCTGATTGGTTGCCATGCACATCTGCTCCAGGTTTGATAAATTCCCCTCAGAATGTTTAAATGTGTTGTTAACTGATAAAGGTCAATGTTGTTTTGCCCTGTTCTCTAGCAAAAAAACAGGGAATTAAGATTACTTGATGTACAGTGGGTTGACCTATGCCCATATGCCACTATTTCCCACACCAGTCCTTGGGAACAAAGCACTGCAAGTTCATACTTTGAATAGGGACATAGGTGCATTAATAAGCACCTCTTTATACATCCACTCTAATTTTTTCACCTGATATTCTGAAAATAGCACTGGAAAATGTCCAGAGGACTGGAGATGGGAAAAACTGCCATATGCAATGCACCAGATACCAAAATGTAATGACATGCATGTAAGCATAAGCACTGATTTAAAGCAATGTTATGGTGTGAGGGACACATTCAAATGGGGTAACATTTGTTGACTACAGTTATTCCAGAAGTAACTTTTAAGTGGAATTCACCAAAATATATAGACACAACCTTTATGAACCAGTCAAGTTTTTTTTAAATGGTATTTGAACCGTTAGGTATTATTATAATTGTCATATGATGCCTCATATGTGATCATCTGTATTTTAGGTGTATTTTTTTTTTAATGTATGGTAACATATTTACAAAGGTTAAAGTACAAGGACCACAACTCATGGGATGTAATCCTAAAATGTCAGTGTAAATGTCATAAAAATTTGTCCTGTTAGTGGCAATCAAAGCAACTTCAGTTCTAGTGTGAAAATCAAACATCACAGTGAGGGAAAACCTCTCTACTAAGTGTGAAATACTAACTGTGCAAGAATACAGCATTATTGTTCCGCCTCTTTGTTTCCCTATCCTTGTAAATTTCTCCTCTTTGTATTAGTTTTTCTTCTGTATTACAAAATATTACTGTTCATCAATAAAAAGAAATACATGATGACTAAATTATCATTACCTCTTTATTATCACTAGTCCATTATATTTAAGATAACAAAAGGCCATTCTAGTATGTTCTCGTATAAGATATCTTGTTCAGGAAGACCCCAGAACGAGAGGATACCTTACTGTGGCGTAACTAAAATGTTCTGCCCTGGGCGCCCATAACTCTGGTTACGCCACTGATACCTTATAGCCCTGGTTCTCAACTGGTGGGTGGTGACCCCATGTTCAGTGGGTCGCCACATGCCTTCCACTTTTCTAGGCGAGAGGTCCCTCAACCTCCTCCTAGCGCAGCACTGTCAGTTCTCGCGCCAAGCAGCCATTTAAAATATGCTGCCCGGTGCCAAGTTTCAGCTTAAGTTGGGGTGGGCTAGGGGTATGGCTGCGAGGGAGCTCCATCCATACATGCATTGCTTATAGCTTCCTCACATGTCCTGTAGAGTTGCCTGGGCCAGAGTGACATCGCATTCTGGCTCCTGGCACCTCTACAGGGCGCACAAGGGAGTTGTACAAGCAATGCATATGGATGGAGCTACGTCACATCACAGCAACCCACACTGGACCACAGGCTGAGGATCTAGGCTGTTGCGTTCCATTCATTTTAATGGTACCCCAAACACACCTCCCACCCACAGTTCGTACATCTGCACCAGAATGTGCGGTACCCTAATGCCGTGCACTCCATTGCAGTGCGACTTGGGTCGCAACTTAATGACCAAGGACAAATGTGGGTCCTGAGGTTACACAGGTTGAGAACCACTGCCTTATAGGATCTCACACAACACAGGGTGATACAAATGCCACAATTGTAATGTGTGCAATGCCCTTATGGTGGGAGAATATTTCCAACATCCCCACAAAGGGCATAAATACTAGATACAAGGCTACCTGTGCTGCAACACAGAATTCTGCATTTACATGCTCAAGTGCCCATGTCATACATAGGTAAGACCACTGTGCCCTCCTGAGTGCGTGCGTATGGTGCAGTATGCTGGCGGAGTCTAGGGAGGTCTAAACTGTGCTGGTTTTCAATAAAGTCAGTTCTCACCCTAAGAGACTCGTCCTGCCTGGTTATTAGGGGAAGGTTCAGGCTGCAATTATGTTTCCCGGTTCTAGAGACGAGGAAACTGATTTCTGACTGAGGTACCCAGTCGGGGTACCAGGCGGTCCGTCACATTGGATATACATGCACCATGTTTAATGACTTTGTTTCTTCTCTTCATATCTACATTAAACATGAATTTTGGAGGGAAAATTACATCATAGTGACATCATGAGGGGTCGGGATGCTTTCTGATTGGTTGATGTATTCTTCACTTGAGTATTTATGTTCATTGTGTTTACACTCATGCTATCACTGTTTTGCCTGATGAAGGGGATCCTGCGTGGCCCAGAATCATTGCGTTATGTTATACTGAGCATGGGTCAATAAAGGGGTATTGATAAGCCAGTGACCCCTTCCTTTCTGATATTGAGCGGCGCCATCCGTTTGCCACTGTAGTACCCACCTATTCCTAAAGGGACTTACCGATCAGGAGTGCGATGGGACTTGGACATTAATCTGATCTACAAATACACAGGCACAGCAAGACAAACATCTGCTCTTTCCCTCTCCTCACTTTTCCCTTCTCTAAGGTAATGGATTACAGCTGCTGGGGACTGCTCTGCCCTTGTGATCGTATACTGGACAGGAAGTTCAGGGAAGCTGAGCTGAGAGACTTGGAGCCAGCTATATCGAAATATGATGACTGTAAGTGTTTGGGCAAAAAATGTAAAGAAATACTTTGCTGGGCCATGTATATTTGTTTGATCTGGATTCAATTAGAAAAAAAAAAAAAAGGTTGAGA